TATATATATTCTTGTATTTTTTCACTTACAAAATTAGAGCATGAAAAGAAAGCAAGTATGTCAGGGATAGAGGGCAGAAACCAGATTGTTGCTTCTATAGAAAACACATAGGAGGTGTAGTACGCATAAAGAGGTATTGAAAAGCCTCACTCAGCTCTTCATAAAGTCCCATGACCACACCAGATGGAGTTAGAGATGGGATGAAATTCAAGATAATCTAACCAATGTACTTGTTGATTCATTACTATTATGAGTGATTTTTCATATTCATCTTTAAACTTTAGATGATTGTAATTTTCCATTTCTGTCCATGACACTTTTCTAAACCTGTTTTTCTCTTGTCTCTGATGTTTCTGTTTAAAATATCACCTGACTGACCATAGTTGTATATTGTCTCTTTTAAGCATGTAGTAAATCCAAGTCATCTTTCAAATTGGATATCATTGCAAAGGTTTTTCCCTGTCATACTTTTCAAAAATAGGCTTTTCTGTATAATTCTGTCTGTAATTGTAATCTGCAAATTGTGTTTAATACTCTGTTTCAACTCCCAAATTGAAATTATTAATAGAAATATAAAACACTCTTAATTAATTCAACAGCCCAACAAGATTACAGCTTCAGAAAGGCCAGAATTCAGTAAGGAATGAGCATTTGTTTGTTTTCTCAAGACCTCAGTAATGCTGGCTTTCAGTACTGCAAGGCCTGATCCCCTATTGGCACTTTTATCACCACAAAATGAATGTAATGTACCATCAAATTCAAACTGAATTAGCAATCTTAGTAGTGACTTTCCTATGCTATTTTATAGTAACATGACACAGGATTTGGCATTGAAGATCAGAGCCTCCTGAGCCTCAAACTGGGGCTTTCTGTAAAGGTGAAGAAAAGGGACTGCTTTCTCAGAAACTCAGAAAGGCCTTTAGCCTAGTGATTACTCAACCAAGCTACATGAGCTCTGTCAGTTGACGGAGACCAGGAAGTGAATTTCTCTCCTACACTATTGATCCAAGCTAAGTATGGATAGGCTTTGTCATGGAATGAAAAAAAAAAAAAAAAAAAAAAAAAAAAAAAAAAAAAAAAAGATCAGGTTACTGGCAACACAGGGCTATGTTAAGTAAATATCCTATTCTTCTGCCTTTTTGTCTTCCTCATTTCCCTTCTCCTCACACATCTTATGCCAGCAGAGATTGTTTTGTGAGTCTTCAAATTCAGTTTGGTTTGATCACTTCTTTGCAAGCCTATTCCAGGCACTTGGCTGATGACAGTCATGAAGTGTTGACTGAAATGGTTTAATCTCTAAACATAGCCTCTCTAGAACTGTTGGTTTTGGAAAAAAAATTTAGCACAACAGATGACTAGGGAAGATAAGAACCATTTTATGCAAAGTTCTCCTTTATTACACACCTCTTCAGTATTTGTTCTCAAATATTACATCTGATGCCAAGTCCTCTATGACACTTTGTTGCTGCTGTTCAAGAGAAATACTTATAGCTGAAATCAAATGGAAGCAAATCTGCTATTTATTTGAAAGAAGAAGAAGGAAAAAAATGCCTCTGAAATGAACTAATTCATTTCTAGCTTGAGAGGGAAATTTTAATATTTTGTTTGTTTGTTTGATTTTTCATCACTGAGACGAAAGGGAACATGGTATATAAAAGTCAATAGCAGCTTCCTTGGAGATTCCAGTATCTTTCAGGTACAACAGATTGAATATTTTCTAAATTGAATGGTTTTCATCACGTTAGAAGGACCAGTCAACAATACAGAATTGAGACTATGCTTGTAGGGAGCCATTAAAAAAAAAATGTGCAGAAAAACTATTAATGCATGAGTCTGAGAGTTGGTAATGCATGTTATGGAGGAGAATCTAACATCAAGTTCTTAGATACAAGTGGCCAGCCAAGAACTCAGGTACAGTGTGGGGCCCAGTTCTAGTACTGAACTCATGACTCTGAAATATATATTCCTCTATACATTTTGAAAATGTTAAAACATAAAATATGGAGAGGGGGTTGTCTGTTTTTTTTTTTTTTAAAACATTTGAATAACTGCTTACTCCTTATAATATGGCAAGAGACTTATGCTTGACATATGAGCTTGTTTAATATCACTGAAATGTGTGCATAATCAACTCAATGTCTTTTTTTTTTAAAGTTTCTAGTAATTTTTGATGCCTTGCCTGAGCTCCTTAAGAGAGATTAATTTCTTTAGAGAGAAGTACGCATTTCCTTCTTCCCAGAAAATTAGATCTTTATTGAAAAACCTAATTTAGAAAAACCCAATAATTTCTTAAGAATAAAATGTTGATATTGCAAACCCATTGCATTCTATGTACTTTATAAATCTAGTGAAACAGATGATTTAGGTATAATATTTTTAGAAGGATACATTCTCCATAATAACAGCTGTTTGAGATCACAGCTTCTACCATAATACAGAATCAAACTACATATAACAACTTGTAAGAAGAGCCATAGCTTCTTCTATTGTCAATAATCTTTGTAATTAAACATTGCTTTTATATTGAAAGGCTAATATTATTTTTTTAAAGTTGCTTCTTAATTCTAGGATTATTTTGCTATGGCTTGCTGTATTTAGCTGTTAAAATCAAGGGAACATGGTGAACAACTGTACATTAAATAAGAAAAACAAAACAAAACAAAAACAAAAACAAAACAAACACAAAAACAAACAAACAAAAGCAACAACAAAAAAAACATGATCACCTTGTGAACTTTTCCAGGCATAAATATTCTACTGGATCAAAAAGCAAATTTGATTCCTGTTTTCAGTTTCAGAAACTCTTTTGAACCCATGACCAATCCAAGTATGACTAGTAAATAAATTCATGGGAAATTTACTCGTTAGAAGAAATCACTGCAATGTGATTTTGATTCCTAATATGAAATGTTCATAAATGTTAATATTTCCAATAAAAAATAAGTGGAAAACATTTTTTGCATTTAATTTAGCATTTCAGAGAGTGTTGCAACTGCTGACACTGGTTTAAATCAACTTTCAGATAATGGCATTAGAAAGCTACTTAATTCTAATTACAAAATGAGAAACTCTACAGTCTAATGAATGTTTAATAAAGCTTCTGTGTATCATTGTATGGGCTTGCTCTTTACCGCATGAGATGGAGGTAACATTCCATTTGTTTCCTTGCTTCAGGGAAATGATAATAAATCATCCAAATATTTACATTTCCACATTACTCAAATATTTACATTTCCACATTCCTAAGATCGAGCTCTTCTCTTAGACCTCTATATTTGAAAATTTGATTCATGATATCTTACTTTGTTCTTCAGAAAAACATGTTCATTTCCTAAACCACAGGCATAAAATGTCAGAGTACTAAATAGTTAGAGTGGACGTAGATGTTTCAACGTCACCCATCTAAAAGATAGGTATGTAGTAGTTTGTTTCAGGTGACTGAAAACGAAGAAACAATGAAAACTATCTTTCCTGGTATTAGCAATGAAAGATAAAGATCTGATATATATATGTGGATATATATATATATCCACATATATATAAATACATATATATATATGTATTTGCATATCTTTTATATACCACTTCTAACTCACTTGGCATGTTTTGAATTGCATTAAAAAGCAGGTTATCTATTTCTAGATATTGGAAGTAAGAGGAGTAGGATACTGTGAGCTATGAAAAAAAGAAATAAGTAAAGCTTCATATCCTCTCCCTACTCAAGTACCCATGGTGAAAACAGTTAAAATATATTGCTTTACGGGGACTTTTTAGAAAAGTATAGAGAATGCATATTTGATATTTGACTTCATTATTTTACTCAGGTCTGTTTCAGAAGGTAAAACATTGCTACTGTTACTGATAACACTATCAGTCACAAGTATTGAATTACAAATCTGTACCTTTATGATATTTTTCTGGGAGATTTTTCTATTTATTGCCCAATCCTGTTATTTTTTGTGTTATAACGACAAGGAAAGCATAACGTCTGCTTAATATTTACTTAAAGAGGATAAAGCTATTGCTTTTGCTCTTGCTTTGTGGTTTCTGGGCCCTTGCATTTCTGTTCCAAAACTGTTTTAAATGTGAAAGTACTCAATGCTCAGCAAAGAAAATTAATTAAAGGGAACGTAAATATAGCTAAGGTTTCTTCTTCCTTTTCCTATCTTGCCCTACTGAATTTTTGTCTTGCATTTATTTCAAGATGCTGACTGAATGGCTGTGAACTCTGATGTTTGATAACACAGAGAATTCTGTTTGATGTTAAGGAGTTATTTTTATGAAAGTTTTGTTGTTGTTGTTCTTGTTTTCTTTCTGTTAATGTCAATCTAATAGAAATGTTTTAAGTGTAACAGGATGATGCAAGATCTTATTTTCTGTTGCTGAGAGAATGTAGTAGGAGAAAGTAATACCTTGAGGCTATTTTTCCCTTACGCCTGTAGTAAAGGAGATTAGAATAATATAAAATTACTTAAGAAATTGGACACCGGAAAAGGGGGATTAGAGAGGGGTCAGAAAGGCACAGAGGAAAGTTTAGGAATAAAACAAGAAAAATACAGAATGACTTTCCTAGAAGTGTAGGTGAGGGTGATCCAAAATCAGAAAAAGTAAATCAAAGGTTATTCAACATGTACACAAAGTTCTTGTATAACTGAAAATGACTCAGGACTCATTCAGAACCTGAATTAAGAGAAGACTGAAACAAGATAATATATGGAGAATTAGTTCTACACAGGCATACTTTGTGTACTTCCAGATAAAGAAGAATGAAGATTTGAAATTTATAGTTTATGCTATATTACATCTTGTACCTCTCAAATATCTCTTAAAAACTAGTGTTAGGCCCAGATCTAGAATTCTGCCAAAATGTGTTTAGAGGTCTGTTAGTGGTCATTATTAATTCTGGCTGCTAAGGGTTGGTGTGGCAAGGTGTGGCAAGGCATTAATGGTATGTCTCAGCTGTGGAGCATCTATAAAATGCTGTATGCCCCATCACCTTCATGGGAAGTTGCCTAAACTGTCCACGTCAAGCTCATAAAAAAGTAATGAGAAACTTGGTGCAAAAGTGAAAGGGGAAAAGAAAAAAAAAAAAGTAAGAAGAAGAAAAACCTCTTTTATGTTTTTTTTTTTTTTTTTTTTTTTAGGTTGGGTAGTGGTACAATGCAATCTTTCTGGAGACACCAGTACCCAAAGGTGATAAGCATTTTGAGGAATTTCTTCTCTATGTCTTCTCCATCCCTCAATAGAGAAAGACAGGAAAAATGAGAGGTTGATCTCAACTACAAAATTATCCACTTCAGTCCTTTCAAGTGGAACCTTATTAAATTCTGTCAGCAGGAATCAGGTCCTTGGCATAGCAGGTAATTGTTTCTCTGAGTCCTAAAAGAGATAGCATGCCCTATTACCATTGAAATGGGACTTCAGCTAGATATGTGCCTAGTGATTAATGTTGCTCAGCTTTAGCCTGTGTTGACATTGGTCAGCCTGCTGCATTTCATAGTAAAACCTGTAGAAAAACAGAATATATTTTATTGCCATGCAGATATATATGGTGAAAAAATCAGAATTTTTCAGTGCATAGCATACCAGTCTTTCAACTTTGGAATAGAAATTTCCAACTTCTAAACAGCAGCTATTCTTATAAATATAGTTTGAGAACAAAAACTCTGAATTTAACTTGACCACATTAATCAGAGCTAATCCGAAAACAAATTATTGGTAGACTGGTAGGAAGAAGCAATAAAGTGGTTAGCTTTTTTGGAACCTGGAGAGATTCTCTTTTGACTGGGAAAAATTATAACGTGTCATAAAACTGATATTTCCACTGATGTCAATAATTTTTAATGCAGAGTGAGTTATGAATGTTAGTTCCTGGGCTTGTCTTCTGAGCTACTTCTGTAGACCTCCCTTGAGACTTCTGGACTGAGAAGTAAAAGAAAACATTGTGAAAAATTTTCTTCAAGCAGTAACTGGACATCTCTGCAGTTTACTGATTGTGCGTTTCTATTTTTGTATATTATGTTTGAATTATTTAATCACTTCAATTTCTAGAGAGACTTTTAATCAACTGGATTAAAATATATTGCATTTTGGAATGTGTAGTGTAGGATTCATGTATTTTCATTCACCAGTTTCATCATGGTTGTTGTTGGTCCTCAGTGAGATTTTTTTTTGGTGATGAGATTTAACAAGGATGGGAGTTGTGAAAAGGTTGGGAAAGTATGGATTGTAACCGTTCCGGTGTTTTTCTGTGAAGGTTTCAGTAACAGTAGTGATAGGGTTGGCATAATTTTGACTATGAGCATTTATGTTGAAAAAATGCTCAAGCTACTTTATCACTACAATATTTTTGAGGTATATTTGCTCTAACAACTGCTACTAGATTGTAACAATGAACACTAACACCAAAAATCAATTCAAGAGCTAAGGGAGATGCTTTATTTACTGTTCAAAGCTTTGGAAATTTCAATAAAAAATTTGTCTATTTGAGAAGTGGTGCTCCAAAGACACCAGATTTGACTTCAGTATTAATGAGCATGTTTTCATGAGCTTTCTTGGTTTCTGTTATATGATGTTGCATCTCTGGCGTTTTAATTTTCATACTAGTTTTCATAAACTATCTGAAAACATAAGAAATCAATGACATTTATTTTACCATTAATGTTCAGATGACTTCCTGTGGAGTCACCCATTTTTACTTTTAAAATTCCAGAAAAATGTTATATCCTGTTTATGGTAGCTGTCTGTACCAAATGCTGGATTTTACCAGGTACTGCTACAGTGTTAGGATTTTTTTTTTTTTTTTTTAACAATTTATGCTTTCAAATTCAAGTTAATGATTGGTTGTGCACTCAGCATATGATTTTCACAAAGTGCTGACAAAACTCTTCTCCCAGTAAAGGAAACAGTATTTTTGAAAACTTCATCAAAAACAAACTAAGACTATGCATAGGACTACAGCAGTAGCTAAGGTGCTGATAAAAAATAAAAAGCCATGAGTGCTGCCCATGTTTCTTACTCATCTGACACCTGTTCTGTGTCTTAGAACAATGAAGTCATTTTCTTCAAGTTGTTTTTAGTAAAAATTAAGATACCAGTGAAAACAAGTGCTATAATTGTTGACAGTGTAGTTGCCAAGCTGTAAAAACTTATCAGAGAAGTGATGAAGTAGAAAAACAGCGTGTAGGTATAGAGATCTATACCAGTGCTCCACAATAAACACTAAGAATGGCAGTGGTTATGAAATATGGAGGTAAGAGGGAGGCACTGGTTTAGTCAATAAATTCTATTTGCTGTTCTGTCCCTTATGTAAAATTGAAAATAATTTAGTGAGGATACATCTAGTATTCTTATCATTTTCTCTAGTTCTTCTAGAAATCTCTGCATCTGCTTAAGTAATGCTAAGTGGGAAAAAATAGGCTCTGCATGATTGGCACACAATCTGTAAGAACTGCCTGGACAAAACTCTGCTCAGAAATCTCTTGTCCATGCTCTTTTTAGCCTGTATCACTCCTTGTCCTTTCTTCTGAAGAAATTAGGTATGCTGCCATTTTTTTCTCCTCCTTTTTTTCTTCTTTCTTCTTGTGTCATGGAGGTGAACCCACCTTTTGCTGCTAAATACTGTTCCTGTTTTACTTCATTCACTTCAGTTTAAAAGAATTGCCTTTTATTTTATTTTATTTTATTTTCTATTTTTTATTTTTGCTACAGCTGAGCAGAAAAAGTCCTCTGTATTTCTCAGGGTCTGTGTTTCCTTTATAATATGATCTCGTATTAATAATACATGTAAGGTTTGTTTAAAATATCAGCACATCTACTAGAAAAAGAAAGCAGCAGCTCCAAACTGTTCCCCAGCTGAAAATGGGAATTAAACTACAGCAATAAACTGCATGAAAATAATTCTCACAGGTCAAGGGGGGTATTCACAAGGCAGAGGCTAATCAGGCCTAAGTATCATAACAGAGACACTAATTGCCTAATTTTCAGTGTCGCTGGGCACCTGCACCTCCTACTGAAGTATACATTACTGGCAGAGGAACAACGTAATAAGAACGTATGGGGTAGTTTTCCTACAGGATGTGGCATATTTGAAACCAAGAAAAAAAGATACAGCAATAGATAACACTAAAAGAAATACTTTATTCCCAATATATTCTGTTTACCATTTTATTTTAATTCCTGCGTGTAAAAGTGTTTAAAATTCATAGTGTTCAATGACTAAGACTGTTTGCCAGAACAGTGAGCTCAGTAAAATGATGCTGAAATTGAAGATAAAACCTATGTGAGTTACCAGTCATATATGAGGAAACGTCAACCAACCCAGCGCAGATTTTGAAAATGCCCTGTGATAAGCTGCATAAAAATTTCCATGGAAACACAGACATTTGGCCTTTTAACAAGTAATCTGCATGTTGACATATCAACATCTTTTTTTTTTTTTTAATAGAAAATGAATGAAAATTTTGCTTAAGTTGTGTATAATAAAATAAAATTGGACTTGATTTCACAGGCAAATCATCTGCTTCAAATAATTAATCTGTTTTTTCTTTTCTTTTTTTTTTTTTTCTCTTTACTATAAATCTCTATAATCATTTTGCAAGTAATTTCAGTGAAGTTCAGAAATTGGTCATTTTCATGTCCTTTTTTCTGTGATAGATATTTAAATAGAAATATTTAATATTTGTTTATTTTAATTAAAAACTTATATAATATTTTTATTACTTATGCAGCAAGTTGTGGCTTAGCTTGTTGGATTCCTTTAAAAGCAAATATATTTCACACAAATGAAAAGCAATACTCAGTCCAATTACAGTGTTTAAACAATTTTACTATTGGAATTATAATAAAACTAAGAAGTTGTTAGATTAAAATTCTGAGTTACATTGGGTTAGTTTACAGACACATGAATGATGCCAAAACTGGTTGAAGAATATACAAGGAAAAAAAAAATCCAAACATAAAAAAAATCTGTGTCTTTTTAAATCCTCCCACCTTCCTCCCAGTTAGTATTCATGTATTATATGTCTATGTTCTATCTGGATGTGTTAAAATTCATTCAATTTACATAAATAATATTATTTTTTTTTAATGATAATCTAGGTAAGAGCTCAAACATTAAACCACTATTTATTTGTTATTAAGCCTCTTTGGGAATTCTGATATATTTTTTTTCCCAAGACGCTCTTCAGTATCAGAACATCATTGAACTAGTTGCTGTACACCTCAAAACCAAAAGGTTTTCTCAAGGGAAGGAAAGGGAGGGGAAGTGAGTTTACATTTCAACCCAAACTATTGACCTTGTCCTAATCTACTAACCATTGAACTATTTTACAGTTTTATTCAAGATTATATCTGAACAGATGTATTTGAAAATATTTGGTTTTGGCACTCCTGAACTTAAAAATAGGTAAGAATTAAAAGGTCTTAGATTCCATCTTATCTACTTTCCTCAGAACACTGAGATCTTACAGGGGGAGAAACCAAAGACATTAGAAAGGGAGAACAATGACTGAACTTATTTCACTCCTTCAGAAGACTGCAAAATCACTTATATCACCTTTGCAAAAAAAATTCTGCCTTTTTTCCCCACAGAGGTAGGTGGAAATGGTCCAGAAGTGAATGTAGACTGACTTTGCCCCTTCTGTGCTGCAGAATATACTGGAAGTTCTCTACAGACTTGTTGCAGTTTATCCCATCCAAAGCCATTAGATGACTGTAGAGAGAATACCCATTCCTACACACCAGATCACAAAATTACTCTCTGTTTACTTACAGTTGAAATGCAGATAACTTTGTAAGGAGGGGCTATGAAACTAGTTAAAAAGAATTCCCTGGTTACAGCCCACAGGTGGATGTACTTAACACATTCTCAGGTAAGTTATCCTAGTAACTGAAAGGTTTTTTTGAACACAAGTACTCACATGATCCCTGAGGCACAGGACAGTTGTTTTTTTTTTTTTTTTAATATAAACTTCTGTGTATCACAAATCTGTTCTTGTTATGGAACAAAACTATTTCTTCCGAGCTTTGTTACTCAGTCTAAAGATGTATTTCAAGCTTAAATAAACAACATAAGCTTTGAATGGGGTTCATTTTATGCTTATACAAAATAAACTGATATTTCTCTATCTAGGTTCACAACCTTATGTTATTATTTTCCCTTAAGCTTCATTTTTAATTTATTTTTATTGCATGTGATTAATACATAAGGACTCATTGTTTAATGACTTTTGAGGAAAACATATTAGAAAAGAAGTTGGCTGTAGTCATCCAGAACTGGCTGTATGAGTTAATTGTAGGAGAGACCACTCTAAGGGTCCCAGAGAGACTATTTGGTTTTTGGCTGCTAATAGTGCTGTGATTGTACTGCAGCTCCCACTCCACGAGAGAATAAGAAAATGAAGTTGACAGCATCTTAGCTTAGATCACTTTTTCTGTTCCCTACCTACATTCCAAGACTTTGGAGGTAGGGTAATTAATCCACTGACTAAAAAGAGGGACATCTGATTAGAACAAGGCTTGCTCTCACCACACCAGTGCCAATTGTCAACATATCTCAAGCAGATGTACACGACTTGCACTCTACAAAATAGTGCAGACTTTTTCTTCTCATTTTACAGTCTAACCCTTCTAATCCTGACAGTGAATGCTGTAACTGCTTGCATTCTTGGAAGAAAACTTTTTAGTTTACCTATTATCTTAATTAATGTATAGTCTTTAGCAAAGTTCTGAGTAGTAGAATTCCATTCATTTTCACAGAAAATATGAACAATTACTGTAAATAAAAGAGCGCTGGTCCTCACGGGGGACTTCAATCACACAGAAATCTGCTGGGTAAGCAACTCGGCCAGGCACGAGCAGTCCAAATGGTTCCTACAATGCATTGAGGACAATTTTCTGATGCAGGTGGTGGAGGAGCCGACAAGGCGTGGGGTGCTCCTGGTCCTCGTTCTTACCAACAGGGATGGCCTTGTTAGGGATGTGAAGGCTGGGGGAAGCTTGGAATGCAGATGGAACTAGGCAAAGGAAGTAAGGCTAAAAGCAGCATTGCTACCCTGGACTTTCAAAGAGCCAACTTCGACCTCTTCCGAGACCTGCTTGGGAGCATCTCATAGGATAGGCTGCTAGAAGGCAAGGGTGCTTGTAAGAGCTGGGCTACATTTAAGCAGCACTTCTTCCATGCTCAGGATCAGTGCATCTCGAGGAATAGGAAATCAGGGAAGGGGGGCAGGAAACCTGCGTGGATGAGCAAGGAGCTCATCAATAAGATCAAAAGGAGGAGGATGGTCTATGAAATGTGGAAAAAGGTCCTGTCCTCTTGGGAGGAGTATAGATGTGTTGTCAGGGCCTGCAGGGACACGATGAAGAAGGCTAAAGCCCACCTAGAGATGAGGCTTGCGAAAGAGATAAAGGATAATAAGAGTATGTAAACAGCAAGAGGAAGACTAGGGAAAATGTGGATCCCTTGCTGAATGAGGGAGGTGTCCTGG